AGTACATTTTTTATTTGTTATCTCATTTGAAAGTGGTAATTTTCCTGTTTTTAATCTTTAAACACGTGCCCCCCTCCCCTTGAGACAACAAAACCTTTGGAATGAATAAAAACTGAAAAAAAGGATTTGTTGTTTCTCGGGGGAAGATGTTTTGAAAATAAATTTCAATTTTCCGTTAATCTCTATAGTGAAATATTTTCTCAAATTAAAGATTTATATCTCTTTGTTTTCCCAAATAAGTTATGTTTTACATACACGGATCTAGAGGGGGGTCGTTGGGAAGGGTGGGGGGTCCGGACAAGCCCCTGGAATTTGTAGCGTTATTTAATGTATATACTAAACCAACTAAAAGTGACCTTGGAACCCCCCCCCCCCCATAAAAAACGCGGATCCGTGTAAAGTTGATCTGAAAAATCATAGATATGAAGCATTTATAAGATGTCAACCCCCCCCCCTCCCGCCGAAATAGGTTTTTCACGTTTAGGAAAGGAGTTTACGTTTTTGTTTTGTTTTTTCTTTCTTGTGAAGAAAGGACAAGGTATTGTAACAGCCGACTTTGGCCCTTTATTTGATGTAAAAATCAAAACACAGTTAAGATTGTGATAATTTGCAGTTGAGAACTTAAAATGTTGTTTGTTTTAAAATCAGTAATAATTTTGATTCAAAGAGTGCAGGGAGGCCACAAAAGGGTGCTAAAGTTGGACATTTTTCCAAATTTTCTCAATTCTGATGTAATTTTGTCAAAGTTGAGATACTTTTCAATTTGGGAAACATAGTGCACAAGCTTTCCTATCTGAGATTTTTATACACAAGAAGCATCTGATACTAGAACATGAAATATATAAATCTGGTAGATAGGCAAGCTTGTGGTCTGTGTTTTCTTAAATAAAATGTGCTATAAAATTGATGAAAATTTGCATAAAAATGAGAAAATTCGGAAATTGACATATTTTGTGACCTTCCTATGACCTTTGTGTACCCCATAACTTAGAATCAATATTCATTTTGTAAGAGGGATGACAACAGGTTAGTAATGATGACCTGTTGCATCGCTCCTGGAAAAACCAGAAATCAGGGGCCAAAAAGGGGTCTTAGCCTATCTTGTCCTTTCTGTGTTGGATTTTTTTTAACTGGGGTGGACTCCTCCTGTAAAAAATTCCTGGATCCGCGCCTGGTTTTATGAATATTCACATAAATATCAATATAAATATGAAAATTTATTCAAATATGTGTGACAGTTGGCAGTAAGCAGTGAGCAGTTGACAGTAAGCAGTTGGCTGTCGTATATGGAATTCCATAACAAACAAACAAAAAAACTATATAGTATAGTATCAAAGTTTTTATTATAGTTGATCAAAAGTTTTAATTACAGTTAATCAAAGTATATTTACTATGAATTTCAGATCATTATATTTTATTCCTTTAAATTCCTACAAGCAATTTTCTTATATTTAAAGGAAATATTACATGTATTTTTACATACATGTATAATTCCAAACAAATACATCATTGGTATGTAATTTTACGGCTCTAAATCTTCAACAAAAAAGTTTTAGAGTAAAGTTTCATAGTAATTCAAAATTCAAAGTATTTACTATAATAGTTAACTATAATTACCTGTAAGTAAACTATATTTTACTTTATTGAATTTTTGTTAGGGATGTAAATATTTAACCTTTCATGCTTCTAAAATAAATAAGAGTAATAAAGAGAGGTAATAATTTAATTTTATTGAAATCTAAACACTTCATAACATGTTCGATCAACGATCTGGACATTATCAATGTATAGGTTTCCTGTACTGTTTTTCGTGATTCCGGGAATTACTTATAAAAAACCGCTTTAATTATATTCTCATCAAAACAAACTGCAAGTGTGACTGTAAGTGACTGTTCTTTTTAATATAAAATATTTACATTTGCAAATGCCTTTCCTTATATGACAATACGAATTAAATTGACATTCGATTTCCAATGACATGTAGTTGGTCATGTGATCAGACTTTACATGTATAGAAAGTATACTGCGCAAACCATTTAGAAAGTTGCGACTGTAACGTCACATGACTTCATAGGTACGTTATGTTGCATTTTCATAACAAAGTCTGTATACAGCGTATTTTTCTTTGTAACACGAATAAAAGTATAAAATATAAATATAAGAAATAAAATATAATTCTTAGTGTTTCATTGGGATATGACATGAAGTTGGTACGTGATCAAATCTACTATAACTCCCTTCGGGCGTTATAGGATTTGATCACGTGACCAACTTCATGTCATATCCCAATGAAACTCTAAAAATGATATCTTATTTCTTAATAATCAAGCCTTTAATCATTCTGATTAGTTTTCGAGGTCCTTTATTAATAAATTTTATGATCAAAAAAGTAACTTAAATTCTGTTCAAATTGTACAACAGAAAATGTAAGTGTTAAATCATGATTGATATATATTAAAACTATTTTTATATAAATGAAAAGTTTTAAAGGTATTGTAACATTCAAAATCATGAATAAACTCACAAATCGACCATCGGTCTTAAATTTTGGGATCGTAAAGCGGACGAAGTTCCATTCCCGATATCCCTTTCACGACTACTCCCAGTTAATAAAGACCGACAAGACCGAGCCAGGTTCGTCCATTAGTACAAGTTAACACAGGTGTCATTTCCTATTAGAAAATATGAAGAAAAAATTTTAAATGTTAGCTGATAAACGTCAATATTAACACGAATCTAGACGAATTAATTCGTCATCAATGGTAGACTCAAATCTTTTGTACACCTTTGTAAATTCTAGTTTATTCAAAACAGAGGACCAGATAGGCAAAGGCCCCTCTTAGAACAGTGCAGTAGTTCATAATCAAAATCCTATCGTCATTCCTGTTTGAATACTAGTATATTAGTTTTGACTCTAAGTGATACAATGTGGGATACACAGAGGTCACGGGGAGGTCGGGAAACTTTTCAATTTCCGAATTTCCCCATTTTTATTCAAATTTTCATCAATTTTAAGCACATTTTGTTTAAGAAAACAAAGAGAGGAATCAATTTTTTAAAAATATTTCATGCACTAGTATCAATAAATCTTGTGCATGAAAATCCTAGATAGGAAAGCTTGTGCTCTATGTTTCCCAGAGGGAAACTATCTCAAATATCGTGAAATTCCAACAGAATTGAGTAAATTTGGTAAAAAAGAATTCTACTCTGTCACCCTCTTGTGGCCCTCGTAAATAATAAAACAATGAAATAAAATAAAATTGAAATAAAACAATGATGGTTTAAAAAAAAAAAAAAAAAAAAAAAAAAAAACATCATTTAAAGTCTGTATTTGCAAACTATCACAATGTTAACTGTATCTTATTTTTTTATATCAAATAAGGGGTCAAAGGCTTCCTTTTAAATAACTTGTCCTTTAGCTAGTTTAAAAGAAGGTAAAATACTTTTGATTCTTCAAAAAATTATCTCTGAAAGCATCTGAAATAATTATGTGTAAAAATTCATTAGCTCAGGTGAGCTAAAATAAATTAAAAATATACAAATAATTCAAAAGAAATGATTTTGTTTGTTGTTTAACGTTCCTCTCGAGAATTTTTCACCCATATGGAGACGCCACCACTTGCCGATGGAGGGCTGCAAATTTATACTTATACTCGGCACTAAGGGCCATTGAGCAGTGAGGGATCATTTTGTGCCAACACACAGGACCGGTCTCCGCAGTGGATTCGAACCCGCGACGTAAGGATCGGCTCCTTATTCCGCGACTTTAGAGCAGACGCTCTAACCACTGCGCAACGCAATGATTTTTAAAAAGAGATAATTTTTTATTTCATTATATATTATGTATTTTTATTATATCACCTGCTTTAATCATTTAAAAAAAAATATTGATTGACCAGTAACACGGAAAAAAATCCATTTTTTTTAACCAGCCTCTCCAGAATTATGACGCAATGCTCCAGTTTTCTCAGAAAATGTCCCTAGGTTGAGAGCTGGCATATCTATGCGTTTATGACTCTTTCTATATATCAGTCTATATTTTTAGCTGTATATCTTTTATGTATAAGTGTATCGTAATTGAAAGACCTTTATCATGTCTTATGATATTTTAATCTTTCTTTCCAGTTGTCAGTATTTGATACAGAAAGCGCACAAAAACTGAACAAAACTGCAATTATTTTTTTTAATTAAGAAAATGATTTTTTTTGTAAAGCCCCCCCCCCCCCAATTATTTACTGCAATAATTAACAAAAACAAAACAAGAACAAAAATAACCTCCACACACATCAAGAAAAGCGGGGAAAAAAAGATGAGAGAGAGAGAGAGAGAGAGAGAGAGAGAGAGAGAGAGAGAGAGAGAGCGCAACTAATTATTATTAAAAGCAGGATCTCAAATAATAAAAAATCAGTAACTGCACTAAAAGTATTGTGTACAGAAATTGGTTGATCTGATACTTCTCTCTAGTTAGTATCAATTTAAGAACTTTATTACGAGACAGCCTCTATTTATTTCTAAAGATAGAATGGAGGGATATTCAGATGTAGGTCAAATATCACACAATTTTAATCAACCAAAACAAAACTCTTCAGGAATGTAACAAAGATGTTTGAGCCGCATATCGAAATAAATCTTTATTACACTTTATAATATTAATCCATTGTAATGCACGATTCTTTTACATTAAAGTTAGGGATGACAATGTTGTTCTCGGGTTTAGTCACGTTTAGTAGTTTTGCTTCGAAAGTATTACATATTTCATTATAATGTGGCTATTGAAAAACTACATACAAAAATATTTTACACATATATGGTGTGAAAAGCTTTATGATGATGACCTAGATAGTCATGATGTCTTTAAATCCACTGGACATTTAATCCTCTTCGGACACTGAATAGAAATGTGGAGTTGTCATTAGTGTTTTGTTAAGCTTAGCGAAAAAATAAATTTTTGTCAGTCACTAATTGGGTGAGAAGCGTGGGGAAAACGATGCAGAGCAAAGATGGCAATTGAAGTTTGCTTTTTTATTCTCCTCGTGGAATTTTCAATTCCAGGTAATCTAATCTTAGTGTTTTTCATTCCCAGAAGAGTTTTTAATTTATTGTTTTTAAACCGTTCAGTTTATTCACTATTTTTGTTCTTGGCAATTTTTTTTCAATCCTTCATTAATTTGATATATACATGTAAGTATATTTATATTGAGTAGTTCTAGGAGATTCAGAACCTGTGAATCCTTCCCTCACAACATGCAATCACTCGGCGATATCCCAGTGTGAAATGGCAAAGGCAGGGGTTCACTATGAAAAATCCATCGATCCTTGCAAGTATGATCTTATTTATCTCTTTTTTGATAAGAAACTTGAAAAAGTCTACTTAAAAATATCCGCTTACTAATTGGAAAATGATTGGTTTTAAATGTCAGTGAAATCTGTAATTTTCCTTAGTTTTTATGAATATTGGGGAAACTGCCTGAAATCCCTAGAGAGAGACTGTAAAGGTGACTTTTATTATGAAGAGCGAGTCCACAGTTACCAGTTTGACGGGGAATATTACTGTCCTTGGCTCTTTCCAGGTACTTGGAAAACTTTAATGTTCATAGGTATAGAACCAAATTTCTCACTAATATTGATAAAGCAAGTAGTAAGTACTTTGTAAGATTGTTCGTATTAAAATACCGTATATTTTTCTACCCCATACGGCACATGGGTACAATAGGATTATCAAAAAGTTAAGACAAAAATTGTTTTAATTTGAACAAGATAATTCAGAAAATTTGTGTCCCCCGCTTGGGAAAAAAAAGAAGAGGATGTGGAGTTCTAGGGGGAGGGGGGCTAAGCGGTCACCGCCCTGGATTTGCAGAATTTTTAAATGTATACATGTATATTGAAGCAAATAAAAAATGCAAATATAGATATAAAGATTTGATTGCTTATTCTTTAATATTGTGTATAGAAGATTCTTTTTATATAGAATATTTATTACGCTGTAATAAGTAATATATAGAGTACCTTTAAACGAGTGTATCTTCAGATATCAGACGAGGGGGCTTGTCCCCCGAGTCTGATATCTGAAGATGCACGAGTTAAAAGGTACTCTATATGTTTTGTATCATTGTTCTCATGCACTGAGTTACCCATGATCTATCAATTTCACGTTAATAGCATGTAATTCAACTATATTCTCATGCACTGAATTAGCCATGATCTATCAAAATTTCATCATACCATTTTATATAACCAATGAAAAAAGAGCACGTGATTCGAAAAGTATAGCGCGCTGTATTTCTTGAACTTTCTACCTCGTCCATTCATATTTTGAACGCCATGGATGACGGTGGTGATTTTATGCTTGCGCCAGTCTTATAGACACGGAAACCAAAATTATGAAGGAATATTCCTTAGATCAGTTAGGAAACCAGATGCAGGTTGAAGATTCTTTGGGAAGTGACGTTTGATCTACCGGAACTAAAAATTGAACCTATTATGGATTTCGATATAGGAGCTATTTTAGACGTTAATTTCACCAGTCCCGAGGTTGACATGAAGGCGAAAAATGAAAGGTTTGTACAAGTGTCCGATCATGAAATTCAGCGTTTGATAGACTCTAAAAAATATCAACACTCGTAAATATACCAAATGACAATTTAAACGTTCAGGCTATTAATCAAGGAGTAGCGTGCGGCACAGGAAAATGTCCACATTTGACCGAGATGAACAGCGATTCTCTGCATGTTTAAATTACTGGATGCAGCGATTTGTGTTGGAATAAGAAAACAAGGAATATCCACCTCGCTCCCTGTACTACATTGTGTGTGGTTTGTTACGCTTTAAGTTTATGAGAGACGAAAACGTTCATTTATAAAAATGTGCGTGTGTGAATTCCATTTTGGATTTTAAAAATTGACGTGCAAAATTTAGAATGTTTTATGTAGACCTAAGGAAAGGTATACCTTCACTATGTTTATATGTGTTTGTATTTTGCTTATAAAGTCAGCTACTTTGTTTATATTCTTTTTCTATATGTCAATGTAAGGTCAAGGGTCATTGGAATTGTTGCATCATTACCCTGGCGTGTTCTATCTTGATAGAGCATGGTTGTTAGAGCACAGTTAGTCATGGTGTATCAAAAATAAAAACACAGTGGACATCAAAGGAAAACGCCGCAGCAATGATACAATGATTTCATGTGAAGTTTGTACACGCCAGACGTCATAACTTTTTCATTTCATATGTTGAATATTATCATTTAGTAAATAAAAAAAAATAAATAAAAAAAAAAATTTAAAAAAACCCGGATCGTACGGGATTAGAACACGGGACCTCTAATTTGCTAAGCAAGAATCATGCTCCTAGAGGCACTTGATAATACATCAAATTAAATGAAACATTAGGTCACATATAATGTTTATATTCACCTTCGATATTGTCAAAATTTTTCACAATACATGGTGTCTAATTTAGCCTTTACTAAACAATTCTAATAGATGTAATTAGAATATAAAGTCCACCGACAACCTGTATTATATGTAATAACTCTTCACATGCCCCTGTGCTAATAATAGTGCCAAGCGATTTTAATACAATTTAAAAAAAAGAGGGGCGGGACACTTTGAGAGGGGCGAGAGAGGCCATAGGGAGTTATGGTAAAAAATTTTCATTGCAAAAGCTCGAAAGCTTCTTGAGATGTCGCACGGAAAGAAAGTGTTACACACAGAGAGAGTGAATGAATTTACGACCTTGTACTTTGACCTTTTTACCTCAAAATAACTAGGGGTCTTCATTAGGCCACAGGAGGTTGTTTTGTAAATTTTCATTGTAAAAGCACAAAGGCTTCTCGAGATATCGCGCTGAAACGAAAGTGTTAAAACAGACAGAATATATGAATTTATGACCTTTGACCTTTTGACCTCAAAATCAATAGGGTTCTTCTTTAGGCCATAGGGAGTTGCTATGTAATATTTCATTGCGAAAGCTCAAAGGGTTCTCGAGATATCGCGCAGAAACAAAAGTGTTACAGACAGACAGAAATACAGACGGATGGACAGCTAGACGGACGGACGGACAGACAGATCGAAATTAATATCCCCCACTTTCAGTGAAAGCTGGGACGAAAGTGTTACAGACAGACCGAAATTAATATCACCCACTTTCAAAAAAGAATATCAAAGTTTTGTATTAATCACCAAATGTGTCGACCAAAAATGAAAAATTCATAGAAGAACAAAATATAATTTATCATCCTCAGAATCTTATTCATTCATTTAAATGTTTAATTTTTTATTCGATTTCCAGTGAAAGTTTTCACAATACAATGTTAAATGTATGCCGAATTTTTAATCTTTAATCCCAGAAAAAAAATTGAGTTCATTCATATCGTAGTCTTTGGAGATGTCTTGCAAACAAAATTTGTTTAACAATATTCTGTTTTTGAACCTTGAATTAGGAAAATGAATTATACATTGAACATATCTGCATTGAATACAGCTTGAAAATACTCTTTCCCTTAATTCACTATTGCATTCTTTCAAAGACCTTCATTAATTTTATTATACTCTTTAAATGCATGCAAAGGATTCATCATTAAAGGGGAGTAAAACGCAAAATATATCGTATTAATAATCCGTTGTTGATACATTTAAACCTTTTCATTAACAGATGATCAGCCGGCTCCTGGCTGTGATAAGAGGACTATGTACCAATGTAAAATAAAAACCCGACAAGAAAGAGAAGACTACTACAAGACGGGAAAATGTCCGTGAGTAGACATCTTCTACATACTAGTACTCGTTATGTTATAGGAAAGAATATAATTTAGGTGGTGATAAGTGGTTGGTGTGTGCTGACATCATTAGGTGGTGATTTAACATAAGTGGTTGGTGTGTGCTGACATCATTAGGTGGTGATTTAACATAAGTGGTTGGTGTGTGCTGACATCATTAGGTGGTGATTTAATATAAATGGTTGGTGTGTGCTGACATCTTTAGGTGGTGATTTAATGAAATGTATGGAGATATCGAACAGTATTTAAACTCAAAAAAACATTAAACAATACAAAGTGATGACATCATTAGATGGTGATCTAACATAAGAGGTTGGTGTGTGCTGACATCATTTGGGGATGATTTACCATGAGAGGTTGGTGTGATCCTGACATCATTAGGTGGTGATTTGACAGTAATGGTTGGTGTGATCCTGACATCATTAGTTGGTTATTTAACATAAGAGGTTGGTGTGTGCTGACATCATTAGGTGGTGATTTAACATAAGTGGTTGCTGTGTGATGACATCATAAGAGGGTGATTTGATATGAGAGGTTGGTGTGTGCTGACATCATTAGGTGGTGATTTGACAGTAATGGTTGGTGTGATCCTGACATCATTAGTTGGTTATTTAACATAAGAGGTTGGTCTGTGCTAACATCATTAGGTGGTAATTTAACATAAGAGGTTGGTGTGTGCTGACATCATTAGGTGGTGATTTAACGTAAGTGGTTGGTGTGTGCTGACATCATTAGGTAGTGATTTAACATAAGAGGTTGGTGTGTGCTGACATCATTAGGTGGTGATTTAACATAAATGGTTCGTGTGGTGCAAACTAATCCTAGGGAATTTGCTTGAGTGAATATTGTTACAGATCACGATATAAACAATTTAATTTAACGAATAATGTACTAGTAATACTAAGTAAAATTTGACCTTCTAAATAATAATTTTAATCTTGTGTATTGCAGATTTCTCATAAAGCAGAGAGACTGCCTGGAATCTTTTCGCAATTCATGCTCAGAATATAATAAGTATTCTTTAGAGCTCCATAACTGGAAATATCAAGCTCACTTAGACTGCCCGCAGTTGTTAGGTATGTCATAACTGGAGCTATGAGACAGGTAGGCTTAGAAGGCCATCAAGTGTTGGGTATGTTATTACTAGAAATATCAGACATAATTAAACTGACCTCAACTGATAAGTATAGGAAAGATATATTTTTCTCGGTTTTACAGCATTTGAAAGCTGAAAAGTAGATAGTTATTAATTATACCGTCTTTAGCAAGGGATTAAATTATTCCTTAGCAGAACAAAATGGAAGACTTGAGGGCTTGTGCATCGTACATTTTGTTGTTCTGTACATATTGATGTCGGCGACAATATGAACCTACTCTCACTGCACATATTGTCGTCGGCTGCAAAATTATACATGTACAAATTGTCGCCGGCGAAAATTTATGCCTACCCTCACTGCATATATTTCCTGCCCCACGGTAAAGGCTTCCAGTAATATTGAGGATGATTACGATGCTTTCAAAAATATCTACAGTCTTCATGAGATTGCATGTTTAGTAAGAGACAAGAATTCAATGCTTTTTTGTGTGTGAAATTGTCATTTTAAAGTCCATTGAAGCAGCTGCCATGATATTCCATATTTCATATACAATATACACTTTAAAGAAAGTGAATGGTGCAAATAGCATGATTGAATAAATTCGTAAAAAGAAAAATACCTAGCATCTCTCTCTCTCTCCTCATCACCCGAGTAAATTTTTCTTCAAAAACAATAAAAAAAGGGAGATGAAATTTACAAATATGCACAATACATACATGTACGTGTATTAACTGATGTGTAAAGTACATTTTATCGCCCGGATAAAAGGCTTGTCTCGGTACATATTGTCGCCGGGGTCAATATGTACCGATGGACGACAATATGTGCAGTGAGGGAAGGCGGCGACCATATGCACAGGGCAACAATATATACTGTCAAAGGGTTCATCGTAAAGAAGAAAAAAAACAAAGACAAAACCAACAAACAAACAAACAAAACAAACAAAAAACAAACAAACAAAAAAACAAAACAAAACCAAATGCCTCTTCTGATAGTGTTCGGCATTTTAAAAATGAAATTTCAATGAAATATAAATTGATTAAATGAATTTTTTTATACTAGTATATAAGAAAACACAAGAAAGATAATATTGATATAAAGATACTAGTACACCATTGTATCTTTCACAGGATGCATTGTATCAGTTCCTGATAATATATATTTTGTCTTTTACAGCCTTTAATGTGACACTGGATCAGTCCCGATATTATATTTTTTTTTCTTTAATAGGATGCAATGTGATATGTATCAGACCTGATAATGTATTTTGGTCCTTCACAGGATAAATGTGACACTGGATCAATTGTGATGATACATTTTTGTCTATTACAGGATACAATGGGTCAATGTATCAGTCCTGATGATATATTTTTGTTTTTTACAGGATGCAATGAAACACTGAATCAGTTATATTTTTTTTTCTCTTTAACAGGATGCAATGTGACACTGAGTCAGTCCCGATGTTATATTTTTTTTTTTATCTTTAACAGGATGTAATGTGACACTTTATCAGTCCTGTTGGGATAAAATCGACTTTTCAAAAGTTAACCTTTACGATCCATCGTCCTTTCATGCTTTATGTGGGTGAGTTTAGTTCCTTTATTTTTTAACATGCTTTATAGTTTTATTTTCTTTGTGTATCTTTGCCCTTGGAAGTATTTTTGTGTAAACGGGATAAAGATGTCCATTTTTTGAGAGCCTGCAGCCCTCAACCAGTTGTTTTTCTCACACAATGCGAATTTGAAGCATATCTCCCACCTAAAACATTTTCCATAGGACAAAATCTACAGAATAGAATGGACAGTGCCATGTAATTTCGCATCTTGACTAATTTCTTCAAACCTTAAGATATGCTTTATTTCAAAGATAATTTTGGTTTAAGATCGGAAATTCCAAGACAGTGTTTCTAAAAAAATCATTCATGCAAAAAAAAGTTTCCTTTGTAAAGGAAAGTACATGTACCAAGGGGTATTAATTAGCAAAACTTTTACAAATAATCAGGTGATCTAATCTGCTGAGCAAGAATCAAATCATCGAAAGAAAGAAGTATTTTATCTAATTACTCAAAACTCAAAAATGCTGATTTTCTCCATATACAGTTGCAAAGCAGATGAAAATTCTCCGTGATAACTTATTAATTGAAAGTAATAATTAATTGAAACACGTCTGGCCAATGATAATGAAACATTTATCTAAGTTTGTCAAGATATTTAAACTTTTCGAAATTGATCGATATTATACGATTCTAGAATAATCAAAGATTTTTTTCCAATTTCATCATTTGAAGAAAATAGTTTGAATAATTGAAGTAATTTTTCTTTATAAATTACAATGCTAACTGTGACCTTGAAGACAGACAACATTTACGCGTTCTGTATGTCAATTTAGTAAAATTAAGAATATTTTCTACATAATCTGTAATTGTGCTGCCTTCGCAACCCTTATCAAACACTTTTTATTCTTAATAAAGTTTTCTGTTTTGCCATAGATATATTCTATTCTTTATAAGAATTAACAGCTTTTTACCTCAAGTGAGCTTTTCTAATCACATTTTGATCCGTCTGTCTGTGTGTCCGTCTGTCTATACACTTTTTCACATTTTCGACTTCTTTTCCAGAACCACCTGGCCAATTTCAACCAAACTTGCCGAAAGGTATTCTTGGATAAAGGGAATTCTAGGTTGTTCGAATGAAGAGCCACACCTTCTTTCAAGGGGAGATAATAACGAATAAGTAAACGATTATTGGCATTTAAACAAAAAAAAAAAAAAAAAAACTTCTTCTCAAGAACCTCAGAAAAGATGAAAAATTATGTGAAAACATCTTCAGGTAGTGTAAATTTAAGTTTGTTCAAATCATGACCCCAGGGGCTAGGGTGGGTCCACAATGGCGAAAAAAAGTCTTACATAGAAATATATAGGACAATCTTTCAAAATCTTATTCTCAAGATCAACAAAATCATGGTTGGTCATATCTATTTGGAAGCATCCTCAGGTAGTGAAGATTCAAATTTGTTCAAAACATGACCCCTGGGGACGGGGTGGGGCCACAGTGGGCGATCAAAGCTTTACATAGGAATACATAGGAAATATCTTATTCTCAAGATCAACAAAGGCATAATTAGTGATATTAATATAGATTCATCCTCAGGTAATGTAGATTGATTTTTTCAAATCGTGACTCACGGAAGTAGGGTGGGACCACAACAGGGGATCAAAATTATGAGGTAATATTTATGAAAAATCTTTTAATTTTTTTTTTCTCCCGAACAGCTAAGCCTTGATCAGTCATGACATAGAAGATAAAAGTTTTAGGAAAAGTCTTCTAGAACCATGAGTAGTCAAAGAAATAGGGAAGCATTCTCAATTAGTGAAGATTCAAGTTCGTTCAAATCATGCCTCCCAGGTTGGGACCGCTTATATATTTAATTTTTTCAATACTGATTTTCCTAGCGAAAGTGCTAAGGTGAGCGATGTAGTCCATGGGCCTCTAGTTTAACCCATTAGACAATTTCAGATAACTTATTACATTGTTAATAAATTTGAAACTGCACAATGCTAGAAACACGAAATGTTACATCACAGTCATATTTGAATACAATTTGTTTTGAAGCATTGAATTAGAATTTTTACATTCAGTGTAATTTTCTTTATGAAATCCATTTGAAATCCACGCCGTTTAAATCTCTATAACACGCGCGGAGACTTGTCATCGCGCGGTAGAATACACAGTAGGAACTATATGCATTTTCAATACTCTAAGAACACTAGAATGTATATTGTTTTGACTCAATTTATTAAAAATCAACTACCCTGTTAAATTAACCTAAAATTACAACAACTGTGCGTTTAAAATTAATTTGTCATCTTTTTTCCACACGATGTACATATGCGTTATTTAGCTTTCCAACGTCACAAACGGCTCATACATGTATGTCTATTAAGCACACCAGTTCTGAAAGGCGCTAAATTCTTATTAAAGACAAACAAAATAAATAATTATGAAGAGATAAAATTAGAGAATGTAAATATAAGCATTGATTTCTTATTTTTTAATGTCTTCGGTCCTGTAACACACCTGGCCGTGCCGACAAATTATCATACCGTGCTTACGCTCGGTATTCAATTTGTCAGCACGGCCAGGTGTGTTATAGGACCGAAGACATCCAAAAATAAGAATTCAATGCTTAAATAAAGATATGCATGCTGAGTTTTTTTTTAAATATATAACTTGGATTCTTGAATACAGCGACATTTTGGATAATACATTACCTTGCATCATTGACCAGACGGAACGCTGTCATTATCAGGAGGAGACTTTACTGCACAAAAATAAATGGAACTTCCAGATGATTGTTTACTCCTGTTACGGTTCTCCAGGTAAATACAATTTTTGACAAACAGAAATTGCAGTAACAGCGTAATGGAGCTCCTCTTATTCACCTCTACATTGATTTTTATCTCTAAATCTTAAAATACAGCAGGATCCTTCACGTTCGAAAATTATTGATAAAAGAGCTTTAGCCATAAAATTACCCTACCTATTTAAACATTAACTGATCAAGACCAAATGACCCATTTCAGCAACCAATAAAAGTAGAGACTAAGTGCTTTCGTATCCTATAAAAAGTTTCCTATGAGGGTTCAAATATTAAAAAGCAGGCTTTTCACAAAATTTGAGGATAACGACGCAATTCATGACGTCATAATAGATGGACTAGTGAGAAAATTAAGTCATTTTTAAAAATATATAATATTATGCAGTCACCAAGGGTCCAACTGAAATTAAATGTATTTTTAACTAAAACTGAGACGTTCTAATTTTTTTTTTTTTTTTTAGAAATACACTGCGCCAAAAAGGCTTTAAGTGAACCTGTTTCTTTTTACAACCCTTGGATTTTTTAGAAAAATTATAATACAGAAATTGATCAAAGGAAAAAGATAAAGATGCCCTTTTAATGGTATTTGGATTCTTGACATAGGAATTAAGCATAATATCTTTACTTTTATTTATTTTAATAGAATGCAATCTTGTGAAATTAAACGAATGCGCCCTTGATCACTACTCTGAGAATGTCTGGTTGATGTCTATACCCACACCAAAACAGGCTACAGCAATCTGCAGGTAAGTTTTAAGATTGAGTCAATTTGAATTCAGTGAGTACATTAACATGTAAAAAAAAAACATTAAAAAGAAGCTTTTTTCAACAAGAGTGAAATGCTGTGTCATGTGTAATTTAGCATATTAAATCAACATTTAAAAATGTTAAAAACATATCATTACTACACATTTAGATCGAAAAATGTGTGAATCACGAGATAAAGCAATCGGGCATTCAAAACTATTTTCTGAAGTTGATAATGTTGTCTTTTTATAGCATTGTAGGTATGGCATTCACTTCGTGATCGGGAGGCCCGGGTTTGAATTCTTCGCCGCGCCGCGTCAAACCTATGACGTAAACATACAGCGGTGGATCATAATATTATAAACAAAATGCGTCGTCGCGTTATTAGCAACATATGGATCCGGTATAAAAACAACGATTTCTAGATTATAAATGGATTGGTATAAATTAAACTTACCTAATATTTTGTTGCATACCCCTTTGATCTAATTATCTTGATCATTCGCTGTGGAAGTGATCTGTAAAGGTTCTATATGAAATATGTGGAGATAACGAACAGTATTCGACCTCAAAAGTCCATTAAACATTACAAAATAGGAGCAGAGCAAACACGGACCTCTAAGACATCAGAAGTGGGATCAGGTGCCATGGAGAAGTGAGCATTAATTTTCCAATGCCTTTTCCCCCTGGCCCATTCTACTCGTTTTTTAAGTTCACATATCGGATTCATATTTTTTTTTCTAACAAATCATCTGTGGTATATCGAAACAAGCATTTTTTCAAAGTTACTTCTGAAAAAGTATTTCTTCGAAACTGGTTGAATTTAGCAGTAACTTTCAGAGGTTCGACAGGATGTGCTCTTACTAACCTCAAAATTGATCGTTTGTCTTGCACACTAGTTTTTTTCTTTCTACCTGTTCCAAGCTTATTCTCCACCGAACCCCGTTCCTGATTTACACAGCATACATGTACACTTGTACATCGATTTAGTCCCAGGCTCTTTGCAATTTCTGATTGATTTATTCCACTCTGAAAACTATTTACCATCCTTTGTTTTAAGCTTGGTGATAAACTTTTTGTCTTCCCCATTCTCTGTCTTCATACAGAACAACGTACTTAATCGTGTCACAAAACATGATACGTCATATCTTATTATAATACCCAAAGAATGGTCTCGGCACAAGGAAAATACGTATAATATATGAAAGCCCTAGTACCGAAAGGCAACGTCATATATCAATTATGCACGAAAATCATCTGAAAAGATTGCGCTATTGTCCATAAAAACAGTTTTGCATGTGTGTATGTGTGTACTATCTATTTCATTAAAAAAGTGTTTATTTATAAAAAGGAATTTATTTTACACCGATTAGAGTCCACTTATATGTATGATCTGAATAGTTTTTCTTAATGTAACTCTCGCAATCTTTTCATATGTTTTTCGCGCAATTTTGATGGAGGATTAAATATTTGTAAGTTAAAGATATTGCAATTCGTGCTATCATACTTCGTAAATAGGATACCTACATGTACTAATTAAGTGCATGTACAGCTATAAATGTTAATGGAGACAAAGCGTACAGGATATCTATCTGGAATGTATTTAGTGTCAGTTTCTGAGAAACATTGCTGAAAAATAGTTTTTTATAAGGTATTTGTATGCTTCAGAAAACATAAACCATACATGCGCTGTGTGGCCCCATACCAAGAAGCTTGTCTGAAGCATAAAGCCAAACTTGGGACGATTGGCCATGTATCACTATCCGCCGTTGTCGACCGCATGGAAACACTTTACAATTATCTGTCTTTGACGTGCATTGAGAAATATACCGGTAAGTACACGGCATATAAATTTTCTATTTAAGAATACTCTGAACTGTAATTACGTATGAATAATTTGGAGTAAAGGGTAAGGTAAGGATATGCGAGTTAATGATATAATTATAGGAATCACTGCCGAATCAAACCCTATCCACAATATGCCTGTGCTATGTTGAACGTATGAACAAGCATTCTGAGTATATTACATTTATTAAGCAATACTAGTCACCTACCAGCGAGACTAGTCTGATTCTCCATAAAAATTTAAAAAAAAAGGTCGAAAGGCCGTCATTCTGTCAAAAATCATCGAAGCGGAAACAAATGTAAACTTGATCTGCAACTCATCACTTACCTACCAAAATTAGCTCAATATCTGCAAGCGTTTAGAAATGCTTATCTTGAAATCACTTATTATAATATTGAAAGTATAAATACACTCCTGTTTAGATATTCTGACATATGGCGAAGATTGTTTTGACACACAAGTGACCAGCTTTCAATTGTTTGTATGTGAGAATGATAGGATACCAGTGTTTGATTATGCTCCAGATCAACAGAGATGTCTGTACGTATTGTTTGCACTGAGGAATTTCGAATACCTATAAATGTTTTGTTTTATAGGGGTAAAAGTGTCTTTATTTTTTGTTATTGCAATTTATTCACCCAGAATTCTGTAATTTTATTGATAAGATATTTTAAAGTCTCTAGCTTGGACAGAGACATGGTGCTTATACAAATTTAAAACAAAACAACTGGAATTTAAACATAAAAAAATACACTTTAGCTATGAACTTTTACCTTTCAGATCAATTCAAAATCTAACATCTTGTATCAGAAACGCGCTTTCAGACACCCAGGCTTGTGTTGAGAAATCCATAGAAACAGCTCAAGATGTAGCAGTATCTTGGGATCAGTTCCTGTTGTCGTTACATCACGGGTTTACCTGCGATGGTTCTAAACCAGGTATTTCCGTATTTTTTTCCATAGCTTTGTCTTATATTAGATTTCTTACTTTGATTACATTGAAATATGCTCTTTTTACTTTTGTATTTTACATTCTTTAGTTCGACAAACGACAACAAATCCAACGATACCAGATGAACTTATCACTACGGAATACTTGACAAGGTTGCCAGACCAAGACAGTAGACGCGGTGTCAATCAATCAAATAATGTTTTACAGGGACACTGGATGCTCTGTGTTTTAGCATTGATCATATGTATGTGTAATGTGTTCAAAACCTAAATATTATAAACAGTTCTCAAAGATTAATTCACAAAGTGAAGCTCACTTCTATTCTGTCTATTCAATTGAAACGACTTATTACAAAAAACAAATTGCGACTAACAAAGTTGTAGACACTAACTTGAATATTGAGATTCAAAAATTGTATGTCGATGCTAAGCTTCAACTAACAATACAATAGAATAAAAGAACAATATATGATGGTATTTATTATTATTGCTTGTGTATTTACAGTTATAAATGCAGTATTGTAGGCAAACATTAATTTTTAAAGATATCAAAAGTAAGTTTTATTCGTTTTAAAAAAAAGTGTAAAAAAGCGTGAAAAGATAAAGGAAAGATATTAATTTAAAAACCATTTTCAGAAGTCGACACTTTTTACAGGTCTTATTTTTTAATGAAGAGAGGTACACTGTACTGTTACTGTTAACTTTGCCTAAAACGTTGGCTTTTCATTTCCTTCATGTCGATGCATCACTATATATGCAGTTGAAATTAAAGCCTCTCTTCTAGATAATCAATATTACGAAATAATGATACATGGAAAGCAATGAAATAATAATTCTAATGACCTACATGTAATTTGCCCCAAAGCAACGGCAATGATAATTTGAGTACAATTAAAATTGAATCCCCACTGTAACGGTAACCAGGTTATCTGCAGTAAATGCATATGGTGTTTTTGTCTCCCACTTTATTCGATATGCAAATGCATGCTCTTAGTAAGACCAATAACCCAGACAGGCTACTAACAAACTAGTTGATGTTAAAGGGATTTCAACCTCGTTTAAAGTCAGCCTTTCGAAAATTCTATGGTCGTAATAATGGCCTTGTTTGCAAATACAATCTATTATTGGGCCATATTTTGACTGACATGTTCCAATTTTATCCAAGTTTAGGCCATTATTTTTTATACTAAAGCATACGGATTATTCCGTCAACCTGATCAAAATATAGGGCTCACGGTGGGTGTGACCAGTCAACAGGGGATGTTATTCCTCCTAGGCACCTGATTTCCAAGGGGTATATGTTTTATGCCCTGATCATAAATTTGTACACTCTACTGTTTAAAACATTTTTGAGATCGATCACTTCACCTTTTCAAGTGATAAATACTTCATTTTTTTTTATGTAAACAATTCGTCTATGCATTATGCAAATGTTTCATGTACATAATACTTTATTTCAGTTTATACGCACTTTTTTTTTTTTTACATAATTATGTAACTTTTAACTCCAAATATCTGATTTACGACAATGTGATTGGTAGCTAAGAAAATAATATATACAAGACAAATGTAATAAAATAATACATATGGAAAATTATCGAATACAAGTACAATTTTACACAAAACAATTGTTGCCTGCGTGGCGGAGTGGTTAGAGTGTTCGCTCTAGAGTCGCGAAGTTAGGGGTTAATCCTTACGTCGCGGGTTCGAATCCCACTGTGGGACGTGGAGACCGGTCCTTCGGATGAGACCGTATAAACCGAGGTACAGTGTCGCAGTAGGTGCTGGCACGAAAAAGATCCCTCACTGCTCAATGGTCCCGAGTGCCGAGTATAGGTCAAAATTTGCAGCTCTCCAGCGGCAAGTGGTGGCGTCTCCATATGAGTGAAAAATTCTCGAGAGGGAGTTAAACAATAAAAACAAACAAACACAAAACAATTAGAAAAATATATAATACACATACAAAAAGTGCAATATAAATGAGGGAAAAAATGAAAACTGTACAATATAAATAAAAAAGATTGAATTTTGCAAGGTTTAACATACTTCTCCATTTCTTGTGTTGATATTTTTGATGAGAGAAAGTGCGAAAAGTTAACATAATTCTTTTAAAACAAAATTTGATTTATTAACAAGTTCGAAGGTGTCCTATGTTTTGATTGAAGTCTCTTCTTACGAAAAGCTGGAAATGGTATAATCAGTTAATTTCAGCTTTAAACCCCAATCCTGAAATTTGAATTCTTCTCTTCATTTTCTTTTTTGCTATGAAATATCCTTAATTTTTTCGTTTTTCAAAAGGTACATTTCATTTTGAATACAACTGCCACCAAGTAAAATGATAATTTTATTTTGTTAGACTATGAAGTTAAATAATGTCACATATATAAATTGACATCAGAAGGCGTAAAACATTAATTTAGCTCTTCACTTCAATGAGGGTCTTTAATAGGCTTTTATTTTACCTATTTTCAAATACTTGTTTTCTTACTTTTCCGTGAACAAAATTACAGAAATCCTCGTTTACAAGTTGCTCGTAAACTCTCTTTCACTACATATTCTTTGCAATAATTCTTCCAATTTTTTTACTTATTATTTTTATAATATAATATTTATAACTATGCACTCACCTGGTACTTTCCATTCTTAATAGAAGATTTGTTGCATATTTTGAATGTTTTGGGGGCATTAAAAAAGTTAGACTGGGCAGGACTGTCTTGTAATCAGAAAAGCATGCTTGAAAGATGCAAAGAAGTGAAATCAGTTTAACCTTGCACAAAATGGAAGCTTTTTCCTTTTTCAAATTCATGTATATATATATATATATATATATATATATATATATATATATATATATATATATATATATATATATATATATATATATATATATATGCTTTTTGTTTTGTTTTTTTTTAAAAACTTTTTGTTTTTAGTTTTGTTTTCTTCTTTCTTTCTTTCACTTATTTGTTTATAGAAACACAGTCGATATCAGTATTGATTAGCCGACTAAATATAACATTTATCTGCAAAGATTTAAAATGAAAGTTAAAGGGGAATTTCTTACAGATAGTCTAAAAATAGAACTGCATGGTTTTTTTTTTAAACTTCCCGAACGGATTCAAGGTGAAGGCTGACAGTTTGAGAAATATCAACAAATACAGTTGGATAGCTGAGTGCCTAGTCTCCATAGAAATATGTCGGTTAAATGTGGTGCATTTTTCCAGAAAGGAGATATTTTGAAAAAGGTGTTGGTTATCTCTTTCATTTTTAATTTTATTTTATTGTTTGTTTTTGTAACTCTACTCGCTTTGAGAAGTAACATACACCATAAAAGTCTAAAGGAAGGCAGTGATACTCATGCCGGGAGACTTGTTAACAACTTTTTGGAAATGGACACTGGAATTAAATTAACAGAAGACAGTGTATGTGTTTCATGTGATGAACTTGGAGACAGTGTAGAGGCCAAAGAGACACTTTATCAGTTTATTATGAAAACAAAATGTGGGGCAAGATTTTGCTGTTACAAAGACAAAGATCTGAAAGCGTTTATATCAAAGGTGAGTCCACATTACTCTATCATTGAAAAATTGCATATTTTATAGAAATAATACAAGAGTGTCTAATGTTCTTCAATTCTTTATTGTAGATTTTGGAACTCCCTGGACAACGTTCTACAACAGGTGTGCAACAATTTGCTTCAAATTGCAAAACATTGAATAATAACGTGCTCTTTCATGGTATTAATCAAAATCATAATCGATGTTGTAGCTAAATAACGGAAACATATTTGTGTGTTTCAGGTAACATGGCAAATTTGCAACAAAATTTCCACTGGTGGTCCAATCGTTCAAACGCAGCTCACTTGTTTCTGAATCACACAAGTTCCCCACCTCAGTGGACAGCTAGCAATATTCCAGGTTTCTCCTTTTCAAATTTACCGATCACGGAGAACCGGCTTCAGATTCAGAGAGAGGGCATTTACTATGTCTACGCAGCATTCTCTTTAAATCTCAGCAAGTGTGGACCAGGTATTCCTCAGATGTATCATAATATAACAAGTCAGCATCCCTTGCTGAAAAACACCGGACCAGAACTTCACTTCATGAACAAATATGGAGGATTTGCAAGATCTGGGAAAACTCGCCATACCAGTTTCTTGAGTGGAATCCTTCATTTAAGGCGAGGATTTGAAGTCGCAACTCAGATATCAACATCTTCATTTCTAGACCAAACAAAATATTCAAACTTTTTCGGATTGTTTGCATTAAATATTTAATTTTTTCAATGTTTGTGCAAGTTTTGCTTTTCTTGTGTATATACATGTTAAACATCTATTTATTGATTGATAATAAAAATGAAATAGAAATTTTGTCATTTGTGTAGATGAAAGCCTGTACTTTAATTCGCCTTTGAAATGAGTTCGTGTTGGTATTAACGCGGCTACTATTTGTTGCTCTCAACAGGGAAGAAAAAATAAATGTGCCACGTTCTTAGAAACTTTCTGGGAAATCCCATTTGATAATTTTACAACAGTAGTCCCCTTTTCAAAATAATGTTGAATAATTCTCATTCCCGCTTTAGGCAGAAATCACTTAAATACAATTTTACATCCCCTCTCTAAAAATATGATTTGATAAAACGGAAAATGGATTTCTCTTGATTATGAATTAATATTCTAGATCTGAGGAATTCTTGATAATGAAACTAAACAGCTAGACTTTTTGAGCTTCATTTTGTGTAACAATGAGAAATCTTCAAATTTATTTTAATAAATGTTGCTATGAACCCCCTTCAAATTATCAAGTGATGTAAGTGTAAGTTTAAATTCTTTCTAAAATTAATATTACTCAGTGTCAGTAGGCTGGTACAATGTTGTTCTTTTTTTTTTTTCTTTATCTGACTTAACGATGCACACTATATGTAACTTTCATGTATTTATTTTCAATATACGAATTAATTAACATATCAAGTAGTACAAAAGTTATAAAAACTGCAGAAAACACCATTTACTACGTCTTCGTTCACAGAACAAGTGCACTGGTTTTTTTTTAAAATCCTTGGCCTAGTTGTTATTTTTATTTCAGCTATGTAGGGCATGTTTATAAACAAATCAAAAATGGAAGTCAAAAGAACGTATAAGAATACTGAAGAATCTGAACATTGCGAAAATAAGGACTGTGTTACTTATTCTGTTGGAGAAGGCTTAAAACAAGGGTTATTTAATCAGTATGGAAATGCATACAGAATTAAACTTTTGATTTGCGTATTTTCGCTTTGTGTATTGGTAACGCAACTTTTGTGTATAGCTTACATTTTATGTGAGATTTTTAATGCAGAATCGATTGATGCTAGTAGACTGTCCACGTGCGATGAATGTAAGATTCTGACCAGGTGTGATGAGGAGGAAACAACAGAACATTCAACAAGGGGGGCGTGCTGTAGAGGATCCTCCATCTCTGCTTATACGCATCTTATTTCTTTGGTAGAAAATATCGCATAATTTCCATGCCTTTTGCTAGTTATCGATTTGCATGAATGAATTCTTTTTATACCATATTTGGCAGAAATTTTTTGCATATCCCAAAGTAAAGTAAGCCGTGCATGATGTCATTATTGACATAATGTTTTATTAAAGCATGTTAATTATGTACTTAAAAAACTTGGGAAATACGTGTTTGAATGTTTTAAAAAGAGGGAAAACTTTACTCTAAAGCAAGATTAATAATAGGAGATACTGCTGTATAGTTCTTCTTTCATATATGTATATTTCAAGTTATGTTATAAAGCACCTGTGTAACACCTGTTGACCAATGTTTATATTATAAAACTAATGTTATACTTCTGTGGCAATATATGTAATGTATACGCCAATAAAGATACTACTACTATGTTTAATTTTAGATCACTTCTCAAAAGCTGCTGTCGGGAAGCATAATTTCCAAATCTTCAAGTGGACTCGACAAAATATTAGCTTTCCAAGCATCCCCAAGTGCAGAATTAAAAGCAGGTAAAATAATGAAACTGAGAAGAAAATGCAGAATAGTATTATATAAATAGTGCACGTTTTTGAGGGTAACAGTTGAAATTGACACCCCAAGGAAAACCATTGTCAACCGACGCGTCAGCGGAGGTTGACAATGGTTTTCCGAGGGGTGTCGATTTCAACTGTTACCCTCAAAAAACGTGCACTATTTATTTTATTATACTGAATGTCTTATTGATTTCGGATGTCATAAAAAAAATTCGGAGATCGTCGTTAAGTTCACGCTTAAAAAGCTTTCAAACGGTTAGAAAGCTTTCAAACTCACCGCTTCTATTTTTCTCAATAAGAAAGCCTCGGAAAAGATTTACCAGCCTCTTTATTGTTTGTTTGCTACTCAAAAAGTCCTCGCAAGGATGTTTCGTCTGTCGTTTGTTGTTTTCAAGTAAGCTACATCGGACGCAAGCTTTTATTGACGTCGTTTACTTGGCTTCTTTCAAACGCACAACTGACGTTTTGAGAATTCTACGGTGAACCGTACGCGCATGATTTGAACGCATGTGACATTTTCGTAATGTTACCCGTTGTCAACTGTGTTGCTAACGCTGAGGGTAATATTACGGATTGTTAAATGCGTCTAAACCAATCAGATTTTAGTATTTAACATGAAAGTATAATAAATATATATATCCCTATATACCCGTTTTTCTGATGGAAAACAAACTTTAAGATTGTTAGATGCAAAATTTAAGAATAAACATCGATATTTGGATCATTCACAATGTGAATGTTTTGCCGAGCACATCATTTGAAGGTGAAGATAACGAACAGAGATTGGTTTCATAAATCCAATTAAACAGGGCAAACACATGGGCACCTGGAAACATTATTATACATGCACATAGTGTTCTTCATCAAATTTCAATTGAATGCTCTCATGCACTATTATTAGTCACTATTACTTAAACTTTGCCTTGCCCTTTCCCGACTGACTGGCTAAAAATTGCCCGACTCAAAAAATTTTCCCACATGCCTACTGACCCATCCCCCCCCCCCCCCCCCCGAGTTGTTCCCCAGAAATTTTACCAGGTCTTTCCCATTACCTCGGGACAACCCTCGTAGTCAGGAAATAAGTGTATAATGTTTGAATACGTAAAATGAAAGATCATTACATTTGTAGCCACCCTTGAAAACTGTGGCACTGCACTGGATTAAGGTTCTAGAAATTGGCGCATTTTACAATAATCATAGCATTTATAATAAATTATTTCAGCATGAAAACACCAGATTGCCTCCAAGCCTATAGATACGTTTTTGCCTCGTTACTTCGGAAGTTTAACCTTCCATGAAGTTTTTTTTCAGGATATTTTAGATAATTAATTACGTATATTTAAAATTTTCATGAAGCAGCTACACTGTAAGTATTTATCCAGTTGTTCATTTTTCTTCTTCTTTTTTGATGATATTCATCAAGAATCAACCCTCCGGATCAGCAAGACGCCCCAATATATACGTATATCATTAAAAATTGAATCTTTATAGATGGTCATTTAATATGGATGGAAGAAATGTCCGTTGCATTCACGCAGTTTACAACAGAATTGAGTCACAACAACACAGTTTTCATAGTACCCAGATCTGGCTGGTATAACGTCGAGAGTATTTTCCAGACGAAATCTGCAGTGGAGAATAGCCAGTCAAACTTTAGACATTCCTTAGTGCAACTAAAAAACAAATATAGCGGCAACATCTCAAGAGTTTTGTTACATAGTGACATACAATGGACTAAAGGGGAGATGGCATTTCAATCCACGCACCTGTCAGCACTATTTTGGTTGGACAGGGGAACCAAGGTGTACCCTTTGCTTTCGAATATAAATTTGTTGTACAATGCCAAGTCTTGTAACCGGTTTACTATGTATTTTATCCATGATTGACTTTCGAGCACATTTTGTTTTAACCAGTTTCGTACTGAATATGTTCTGTTATATACACAATGTTTTATATATTTGTTACTACTGTCGTTAAGTAATAAAGTCATATTTACAAAACAAGAATATTTACACAATCTATAAACTGGTAAAATAAAACCTCCATCTGTAATTGAACCCAAGCATTTAATGATTATATTACATGATGCCAAGCTTGCTTGCATTTAGATTAAATCAATTATTTTTAAAACAACATTGTTTTAATTTTTTAACTCTCGTTCAATGAAAAGAAAATGCAAGTATTTCCTACTGTAAAACACAATGTAAATGTAAATATTTACATGTTCACATCTTAATAGCAACTAATTCTATTTTTTTAAATTAATACATTTAGTTTTTAAATACAATATGATATTAAATATTGCTTATACGAAGTATTGTCTTTAATACACTTGATTCATATCGGAGTCTTATTTTGTAAGCTCATTCGTGTTTCCCCGCCGCCCCATGTCATTATATATTATTCCATGCAACCAAGTTGTCTGATAACAAATTATGCATCCTGATAAATTTTCCTTGAATTTCTGTAACATCTTCCGAAACTCTATTACGTAACATCCATGTTAGAATAACGAGTATATACTTAAACGCTATCAAATTGGTTTTCCCTGAAATATTGAAGACAAGCTATCCCACGTATAAGCAATAAGTGTAATGCTACACTTCTGTTTGCTCTAAAAATAAGAGAGCTGTTCTAGGAATGATGTCCGGAGAACAATACCACGAACATTATCACTGAAAGTATTAAGCAAAAATTTAAATAACAATGTTTTTTTTTTTCAAATTTGTTCAAATTGTTGCGACTTCTCTAACATTTAGGTTAGTACAAGGAAAAATGAGGGCATTGCCCTTTATAAAACTTTAATTCGAACGTATATACATGTATTGTAGTTTTGTTAGAAAATATAGGGGTTATTCTCTACCACACACACACACACACATTGTAAACAAACTGAAACACGACAAGTAAAATCGTTGAATTTGAATTAAATGTAAAGCCTGTTGACTCCGAAAGCAATTCTCAGAAGCTCTGAATCCCACCACACTTTGACTTAAAATCAATCTAAACAAGCTAATTCAGAAAATTTGTGTCCCCGCTTAAGGAAACTAGAGTGTCCCCAAAACCCACCTGCTTTATAGTTTCATTTAATATGTAAATAAATAAAAGAGTGGTCAGCTATTTATTTGCGGTTGGTAATATAGTTCATGCATTTGCCTGCATAGAAAAAAAATCCATGGATAGAAAGACTTTAATTGAATGGCAATTATCATATAAAATGTGACAATTAACCAAAAATATGATTCCAATCCCTCAAAGCGAAAATGAATAATGAAACTGAGATTATCAGAAATAATTGTTTTTCATTTTATTCATAGATGCATAATCCAACAATCCCCCATATTCGTGCCTAGAGAGAGATTTCAGTCTTTCTTTACTGCAACTTTATAATTTTTGTATTTATACCCATTCCGATGTAATTTCATATTATTTAAATTTCAGTTTTTGTGGTAGCTGTATTCTAGTAGTATATTATACAGTTTCAAAGGACAGTGTCCTGAGCCCATAAACATAAACATATATGCTAGTTATCGAAACTTGCCTCTCAAATGTCAAAAGACAAGTTGTAAATTAACGGTTCGAAGTATTTTTGCAAACTGTAAGGAGATGAAAGGTCAATTGGACAGTGACGCTGGTATTTTTAAATAATATATTATGACAAACAGTGCACATACTAAAAAGCAAATACTTACCTTTAAAATGTAAAATATAGGCTGTATATCGGCCCTATGAACTATTCTGAAAATAGGCCAAAGTTCAAAGGTCACAAGGTGGGTAACCCTGGTATTTTTACGAAAGTCATAGTACCAGGCTATATTTAATCCATACTACTGCTCTGCAGGCGACACAAAAAGAAGAGGGTGGAAGAACTGATAAAAATATGCAGAATGATGTAGAAAGAAAAAAAGGCCTGGAACCTTGACCTTTTCCCTTTTAGCCTTAAAGTCAATAGGGGTCTTTTTTAGGTTAAAAGAATTAAATATCTAAAGTTATCATCTGAAAACTATGTATTTAATATAAAAATTTCTGACCTTGTCTTTGACTTTTTGACCTCAAAATCAATAAGAGGTCGCAGACCATCACTGCGCTTCCATAATGTACCTCTTCCAGACCCAGATGAGGATGTGGCAACAGATACAGACTCCACTGTTATCAAAATCTGCGAAGGTATGGGTGTTACCATCACTCCTGATGACATAGACAGATCTCACCCCATTGGTCGTCCAAAACAAAATAAAATTCAGATCATTTGTAGATTTAAAAATTGGAAGGTCAAAAACAAAGTTTACAGCGCTAAAAAACAATTGAAAAACAATGCCAATAAAATTTTTGTGACAGAAGATTTGACCAAGTATAGACAATCCATTGTATCTAAAATTATACAAGCAAAAAACGCAAAAATCATCCACAGTTTCTGGACTTATGATGGGAGAATCTTCCTTAAGTTTGAACAATATGGAGACCGATTTGAAGTCACCTCACTGGAGGAACTTGACAATCTGATTAACGGTTAAATTGTACGGTAGACTAAAATTCACATTGCAGTTGTACAGCACTGATCATGACTGTCTAATATTCCTCAAAGCATAAAACAAGTTTTATTATATATTTATATGCCGTATATATGTTCATGTATTATTACGTAAATACAGCACTATTCACCCACTTGCTCTCCTTAAATTAAGTCAACAGGTTATTTCATGGTGATCAGTCGTCCCTTTGTACATATGCCAATTATGACTGATTCATAAGTGTTACCATTCTGGTATATACTTTATTTTTTGTCTTTTTCTTCACATTTTTTATTTTTGTTGTTTGCTTTTTTTTCATTTCCATGTGTTCACAGTTTTGTATGTCTATTCCAACCAACTTATGATTTTGCTCTCACAAAATATTACTTGCGGCGCAGCAACTTGTTTTTTAAGAAAATCAAATTCCTCTATTTAACCAATGATAGGTAATACTATTGAGCAATATCGAGCCGCTATTGGTAAATATTACTGCAATAGATGTACAACCAAAACAGTATTTTTCCCTCTCTTAAATGTCAAAAATCTATATCTGTATCTAACAAATCTTAGCAAAAAAAGCTTTAAACAACTACAAATATGCAGTATTTTTCAACAAAACATTTTACATCTACAATTTTGGTTTCAAATTCTTTTTTTCTTACATCTTTTGTCAGGAGACATTGAAATAAATCCAGGTTCTAAAAATGATCAAATACACACACTGGACGTCTTTCATTTAAATATAAGAAGTATACGTCACAAGATTGAAAATATAACAACATTAATCACGGATTTCGATATTTTATGTTTCACTGAAACACATTTGGACTCAAATGTATGTAACAACGATATCGTGATTGAAGGTTATGATACAATTTTTCGTAGAGATAGGAACTCTAATGGGGGAGGCATTATTATCTATGTTTCTTCATGTCTCCGTGCAATTCGTCGTAGTGACCTTGAACCCATATCAATTGAATGTGTTTGGATAGAAATAAGTGAACCTACCTGTAACCTTTTTCTTTGCTGCGTATATCGTCCACCCAACAGCGAAAAATCCTTCTGGGACAAATTTTTGTGGTCAATTGAAAAAGTATCGGATATTTCCAGCAAATTTATAATTGTAGGAGATTTAAATGTTGATTTTCTGGACAATTCTCGGATACTTCCTATTAAAGATATCATGCTGAATCATAACCTGACAAACACAATCCACGAAGCAACACGAATTACCAACACTTCGAACACACTTATTGACCCAGTTTTGATCAGCCCAGACCTTGTAGCACTCCACTCAGGCGTGATAGACACAGACAATACACTAACCGATCACAAAGCGACATACGTCTTCTTAAAATCAAGTATCATTAAAAGTCAATCTTATGTAAGGAAAATATGGGATTATAAAAATGCTAATATGGAAAAACTTAATACTTTAATCGAAACTACTGACTGGAAAAATCTTATCTGTAATGCTGAATCAATTGACGAAGCTACCGAAAAGTTTACAACCAAATATATAGATCTCGTAAGGGAATGTGTACCTGAAAAATCAGTTATTATAAGACCTAAAGACAAACCTTGGTTTGACTCATTATTAAGGAAAACCCATCGAGAAAAAAATAGATTAAGACGAAAAGCACAAAAAAGTAATAAACAGCTCGATTGGGATAATTTTAAGCGTATCAGAAACAAGTTTAACAACATGAAAAAACATGCTATTGAAAATTATCAAAATACTCTCGAGTTACAACTCGTTGATTCCAGTAAAAACAATCCTAAACTTTATTGGAAACTTCTTAAAGATACTTTTAAAACTAAATCAACTACAGATATTCCTCCTTTACAATACACATCTGCATCTGGTGATGTCAATTTTGCTTTTTCTGATGTAGATAAGATAACAGTACTTAACAATTATTTTGCTTCAGTTACCCCTGTTGATGATGATAAGTCTGATTTACCTAAAGAAATTACTAAGTGTGATAGTGTTTTTGACAATATTTCTATTTGTGAACAAGAAGTGTTTGATATTTTATCTATATTACCTGTTAACAAAGCCATTGGAGAAGACTGTATTAGTCATAAAATGTTAAAATCAACAAAACTTACTGTTGTCAAACCTCTATGTTTACTGTTTAATCGCTCATTGAAAGACTGTGTTTTTCCTCAAAAATGGAAATTAGCTAATGTTATTCCTCTCTTTAAAAAAGACGATCCAGCTGTTTTGTCAAACTATAGACCTATTTCATTGTTAAGTTGTGTTGGTAAAGTCATGGAACGTATTGTATTTAAACACTTGTATAACTACTTTCATTGTAATAATATTTTTTACATATACCAGGCTGGTTTCTTGCCTGGTCATTCTACGGTTTATCAATTGTTAGAAACATACGATAATATTGTTAGAAATATTGATGATGGTAAATCCAGTTGTATGATTTTTTGTGACTTATCTAAGGCCTTTGACCGTGTCTGGCACAAAGGGCTCTTGTTTAAGCTAAACATGTATGGCATAGAGAGTAATATGTACTTTTGGTTAAAAAGTTATTTAGAAAATAGAACACAAAGAGTTATTTACAAAAATTTGGTATCTCCTTCGGCTTCCTTATATGCCGGCGTTCCACAAGGATCTGTATTAGGTCCATTATTATTTTTAATTTATGTAAATGATGTATCTGACAAGATGTCAAGCTTTTGTAGATTATTCGCTGATGATAACAGTTTGCAGTACGCATCTAAATGTGTTAAATCTATAGAAAGTAATCTGAATAATGATCTTTTATCTCTTGAAGAGTGGTCAAACAAATGGTTACTAAAATTTAATCCATCCAAAACTAAGGTTGTATTTTTTAGCACAAGAAAAAACATAGAACCTCCCAAACTCCTATTCCAAGATAGCCAATTAGAATATGTTCAAACTCATAAACATTTAGGGGTAACTTTTTCATATAACTTAAGTTGGTCAACTCACATTGAAATCTTACTGTCTAATGCATACAAAAAAATTGGTCTATTAAAAAAACTTAAATTTAAAGTAAATCGAAAGACTCTTTCACTCATGTATACTTCATTTATCCGCCCTCAGCTCGAATACGCTTCAGTTGTATGGGGTGGTTGTCTAGCTATCGACTCTGAAAAATTAGAGAAATTGCAACTACACGCAGCACGGATTGTTACTGGCTTGACCTTAATTGCATCTAGAGACTCTTTGTACTTTGAAACAGGCTGGGAACCGCTCATTGATAGACGCAAGATTCAGAGATTGAATACCATGTATAAAATTGATAATAATTTAGTTCCTGATTATCTACGTGAAATTATACCTGAAATGCGATGTAATGCTTCCGCGTATACAACAAGAAACTCTCAAAATTATAATATACCCGTCTGTAGACTGCAAACATACAAATCATCATTTGTACCAACTGTAGTAAACGAGTGGAATTCTTTATCGCTAGACAACAGACTCTCGAGCTCCTTATCTGCTTTTAAAAGTAAAATCACACAAAAAATAACAATAGCCCCGCCTTATTTCAGTTTTGGAAAAAGACGCTACAATATACTGCACACTAGACTCCGACACAATTGTGTGCTAAACATTGATCTTTATAGGTGTAACATAATATCTAGTCCATTATGCTCTTGTGGTAAGGTAGAAGACACACATCATTATTTTTTCTCATGTCCTAATTACACTGAGGCCAGGAAAGATTTCTTCGATAAGTTTTTGAGATTTAATAAAGTTCATATTGTTGACACTCATACTTTACTCTGGGGGGATACCTCACTCAGTATTGCTGAAAATGAATATCTCTTCTCTATTGTTCAATCTTATATTCAGCATTCAGGCAGATTTAATTGATTTTTCTAAAAATGTGTATAGATAATAATTTAGCAGTATATGTTTCTATGTTGTGAGTTAATTTACTTTGTACATGCTGTTGGACACGTCTGATTGAATTTTTGTGATATAACATGTAGGGAGAGGGCGAATTAAGTTTTTAGAACTTGTGCCCAATCCCATTGTATATATTTATTGCAATAAAATATGTTCAAATCAAATCAAATCAGGCTTTTTGAAGTCATATTGACTAAAGGTATCAAATTTCATTGCATAACCTCGAAGAAAACGAGAGTTATCAAGAGGGAACCAATCTTATGCAAGATATGAACTTTTGACCATACCTTTTGACCTAAATATCAAAAGGGGTCATCATTAAGACATTTTGATCAATGTTATAAAATTTCATACAAAAAATTCAAAGTTGTATTCTGAAAACCATTTTTTGCATTGTAAGATTTCTGACCTTGACCGTTGACCCTTTGAACTTAAAATTCACAGTAGTCTTCTTTAAGAAACTATGGTTTATGATATAAAGCTTCATTGAAAAGTCTTTAAAAAACACTCAAGATTATCATCTGGAAATCATGTTTTGCAATATATGAATTTCTGGCCCTGATCTTTGACCTTTTGACCGCAAAATCAAAAGGCGTCATGTAAAGGCCATATGAAGTTGTGATATAAAATTTCATTGCAAAATCTCAAAGCCTTTTTAAGATTCGGAAACGAATCGAAAGCGTTATGAATATTAATTTCTGCACTTGACCTTTTCATCTCATGATCAATAGAGGCCTTTTTAGGCCATATGGATTTCATTGAAAGAAGCTAAGAGAAAACTGAAGTGATCATCTCGAAACTGTATGGAATTTCTGACCTTGACCTTTGACATTTTGACCTCATAATCAATAGGGGTTTTCTTTAGGCCATACAGAGTTGTGATATAAAATTTCTTTGCAATAGCTCAAAGGCTTTTAAGAATTTGTCCGGAAATGAAAGTTTTACATACTGACAGAATATATGAATTTCTGTCAGCGGGGACAAAAAACTGCGGCCTACTCACATGGCAGGGAAAAACAGAAAAAGAACGGTTACCGTGTTTAAATGCTGAATAAATAATTTATTTAGATAAGTGAAAAAAGAAATAAACATGTCACTATTTTAGCTTTGATTTTATGTTCTTTTAATTCGAGTTAAATTCACCTGAGATCGAAGTGCCAGGCAGTCCCTTTTGAAAGATCTTTAAGTTACATTAATAAAGTCAACTTTTAAAATAATCCATTATTATAATACATATGTTGTTCATTCTATATTAATCATTTCATTGAACTTTTAAGTTTTGAACTGAAATCATACAAAGAAGTGGTCAGTCATAAAGAGGATAATTTACTATTGAGTCCAGCTTTAAATTCGTAGCCAATGTCCTGTCGAATTTAACAGTTTTATTTATAAAAATCAGGAAGTAGTTATTAACAAAGAATTCCAAGTTCAAATATAGTGCTTGACTTTAAACATTGCTCCTTGAAACGTCATGATCCTTTTGATAAACCATTTTCTCTAATTTGATAGGTTAAAAATAAAGTTTGGAAATCCCTAGCTCATGATTTATTTTTCTTAAACATATCAAACAGTTAATGTAAAACCATCAGAGTGAATATGAATCGAGATTCCGAGCGGTTTGTTTACGACCAAGTTCCACCAAGATCTGAGGCCGATCACATCGGAGATGAAAACGCGCTTCAAATCACGCCTTTTAGGGCAGAAAGTCCAAGAACATGCCGACCCTTTTATGCCATTCTCCTGTCGATTTCACTCATTGCCAACATATTGTTAGTTTTTCGTGTATACCAGCACATGTGTTTGACCAATCTCAAAGACCAAGGCCATGCAAGAAAATTTGACAATGATTGTTCTATAATGCCACGAGCAGGGGATACCAATAAGATAAACGTATGTTTGCATCATCCAACTAAAAACGAAAGTGGAGTCTCAATTAAAACGGGGTTTAACTGTTACCAGGGTTACGAAAGTATGATTCTTCTACTTAAACTGGTAAGGAAACTAAAGTTACTACATAAAAATCAGTGGCTTTGTAATAATTCTTTGTTGTATAATCTTTTTAAGATGATTTTTATTTTTTCAACAGGCGCTAGATCAAAGGAAAAAGAAATTATCATCTTTTTACGGACAATATGAAATATCTTCGAAACAAGGTATGTCTTTACATTCTGCCATTATTTACTAGTATACATTTTGTATATTTAAATACTTTTACAGTTAATAAAAAGAAAAAAAGTAGTTCTATTATAAATGACTTCTTGCTGAATTTTACAGTTTTACAAAAATAATGTGAAGATCTCTGCACAAAGTATATTAGTATTCAAAATTTTTAATATTTTTAACATATATTTCAGACGTGAATAAAATCCAGATGAAGTCTACCTTAAAAAGAATTCCTATTGGTTCTAGAATTCCAGCATCTGCAAATAGAATACACGTATCAAAGAGTGGATTATATAATATATTTGGCAACATGTGTTTTTCTGCGAGAGAGATCAGAGAAAAAACTGAAAAAGTGAACATAAAATTAGAGAAAGTTAATATGGGTATAAAATATACAATACTTCATAAAAATATAACAGTACATTGGAATCCAAATGTTCATGTTAGTATAAATTTCATGAACAATATTTTGGTGCGAAATGAAACAGACTTATTTTTATTTGTGAGTCATCCAAATCGCATTTATAACTTGCCAGAATGTAATGTGATAGGCATTTACAAAACAACATAATATTACCCGTATTTTTTAAAATTTTTAGATTAAAAAGAGCTAGCGCTATGACTCTGTCTCAGTCTTTTTTTTTTCAATGCAAGGTCAGACTTACGACCGAGTAGGAAAACTGGAAAACTTGAAAGATGGTTCTTTTAATAAACACCAAAGAATAAATTAAATTAAATTTAAAAAAATCCATAGGCGTCGGAAGCAAATTGAAAGTGGGGGGGGGGGCTAATTGAAAGGGGGGGCTAAACCAGCGAAAAAAGCCCCAATTTTCAATGCCTATATTATGTCTATCTTTGCAAAAAAAGTGGGGGGAGGGGGAGCTAAGCCCCCCTAGCCCCCCCCGGTTCCGACGCCTATGACATCCCATTGATTGGTTTGAAAAATAAAAAGTGAGAAGAATTCTTCTTGGTTATGTATACAAAAGTAATGTTGTAACTTAAATGTATATTTCACATGTTTTTATTTTAAGAATGTATGGCGCGCACAAGAAATATTGAATCAATTTTTTTTTGTCTGTATATTCAAAAAAAAAAAAAAAAAAAAAAAAAAAAAAAAAAAATCATCGCTCTATGAAAGCGAAAGTTTATCTGGTTTGTTATTTCATCAAGCGCACAGGTGTACAGGTATATGACGTGTATGATATTTAATTAGAATTCACAGCTTATAATAATTAATTTCCAGTTGATTGAAACGGAGTTCAATCATTGGTCAATGTGACATAGAAGTTGCTCAAGTACACTAAATTTATGAACACCTCATGGTTGTTGTATGACCATTCAAAAATGAAAATAGGACGTGAATTTCCAACCACTGATCGAAACCGAAAGTAAGATTTTATCATCAATGTTCACCTGGCTTTAGAGTACCGGAGTTAAAATGGAGATAGAAGAGGGAGAAACTTCAAGCTGGCTAAAAAATAATTCAAAGCGAAATATTGCCCGTGATCGTTTGGGTTTTACAACAACTCGGTGTGTCTGTTTATTGGTATCCTGGATTACCACTGCAGTTTTAATAACGCTGATTATTCTGACTTTTATAATCAATGACAGTGTACTGAGGAAAAAAGACAAAGATTTAACATCTACAGTCGAATTTTCTAAATCACTTCCTATGGATAATTTTATATGTTTACCATGTAAAGACAATACACAGACAATGCCTATGAAATTTGATACTATCTTCAATTGCAATCTATCTTTATGCTGTGAATACCATACAATAGCATCGTTGATTTCGTTTACAAAATTGGTACGTATTTTATTTCATCATACTTTACAGAGATTTTAAAGTATGCTTATATTGTTGATTTTTTTTTTCTTAAAACCATTTCTGTCATTTTTTTTTTTTTTTTGAAATATCGAAATCGATTATTTATAGTTGGCAGGGCAGTCGAGAAGGATAGCAGCTTTATCTGGAAAAAATGAGTCTTTACACGAAAAAGATATTCCTTATGGTAAATACTTAATAAATATTCCTTATAGCAAATATTCTTTAATTATATGTTTTCAGTGGTATACATCAGGCAGTTATCTGAAGGAAATTTCTTTTACTTGAAGATTTGCATTATGATGAAAACTTCACTAGAAATAATTTTATTTGATCTGAGAAAGTGCGAAAGGGTTACATTTAAAACTATCTATTAAAGATCTATTGTTTAAAAATGCATATTCAATCACTTTCATGCTACAGGCGACAATCTATTAATTTGTATTAGTATCTTTATCAGTGCATAACAGTTCCAGCAATAGTCTGCTTCAAATACTTCGTACTATGGTTCATTTCTAAAGGAAATAGTAGTAGAACGAAGTATTTGAAGCAGATTATTGCTGGACTCTGCAGCATCGGAGGCTTAAACGAATATCACATTGCTATAAAAATCAACAACTTTATATTTTGTTGGATTTAAACCTTTCAGAGGTAAGAAACGAAAGTTTTATGGTGATAGGGAATTAAAAGGATGTCAAAAGCAAAAAGTTGAAGCGGACAGCTAATTCATATCAGCCCGTATCAATGGAAACAAGCGGTCGAAGTCCGGGCACGATTTCCCGAATGAAATTATGTGACACTAGTCTGAAATTCGTAGAGACACCAGACAAAAATTTTTAGTCTCTACGAATCTCGCTGAGATTAATATGACCCTTGACCAAAGGACTTCTAAATATTTTGTGTTATATAAGTGTATTTTAAAGGTATAGTTATAGTGGGTCTTTGCTTCATGTACATGTATTAATGAAGCGAAGACCCGCTCATACGGAAAAAAATTGTGTATTAGAATGAAAAATCGATCACTCTTGCTCTCTGTTGTTTGTATGCTATTTCGTAAACAAATAATTCAGTCTTTATGGAATTGTTGCGATTTGTGGAGATTTCACATTAATTATACGTTAATGTTCAAAGAAATATCAAAGAAAATTGTGCTATGATTAAAATTTAAATTTTCAATTTCTGATTTGTCGCACAATAGGCTTTTGCTCGCCTTGTTCGCCCATCTTCTTCGTTATAACAAATGAAATTCCTTTAAACGAATTATTAAATGTGTTATAACAAATTAAATTTGATTGAACGAATTCGGCAATTCGTTATATCAGATTCATAAATATTGTACTAGAGGCGCTAAATGTCAAATTCGATTATACGAATTTAATTCGATATACCAAATTTTTAAATTTGTTTAAACGAATTCAATTCGTTATAACGAATTAAAAAAAAAATGTTAATACGAATTGTTTTTTGTTTTAACAAATTCGACAGTTTATTATATCGAATTCAGTTGTACTTTTTGATAGGTCCTAAATTGGCTTCCGTACTTCATATGGTATTTTTGCCTTCAATCTTCTTTATAAATCTCTTTTCAGTTCCTCGTACAGAGAAAACACATGTAGAAGAATTCACTACAAATCTGACTCAGATTGCGGGGATGCCTTCAATTTCTTCACTGAACTTTACAGTTCAAGAGAATGCTATGTACAGTGTGTACCTACATCTTACATTTAAACCTGTTGTTCCCAAAATAAGCACAAATCAAATTACAATTAATATTTCTTTAAATGACGCTGATGATCTCATTTTTTCCAAGAAACTCGTTCTACGTGAGCCATTCCTGATTTCTGGATACGAGAACTTGGTTTTGTTTGAGAACATCCACTTATCTGAGGGATCATATGTTTTTCGTTTATCAGACACGATGATTGTACATAATTATGCAGCTTCTAGACTCTTGTCTGTACATCAAATCTAATTTGACAATGATAAAAATGTTTTAACATGGTTAACATGTGGTTTTAATTTGAGAAAAGAAGACTGACAATTTTGTTCTTGATGGCTGAACTCTGTAATGTCACATGCTGTACCATTATATTCAGTCACTTGATATTTTTTTTAATATCCCACACTTTTAATCCGACGTCTTGTATTGTTATTTAATCAAAAATATGCATGTGTATTTTGAACATGGAAGATCGAGTCAGAATTAATAATATAATTTAAAAAAATGATATTACAATTCCTACTTAAAAAGCAGTTTCCCCTTTATTTTATTATTTTAAGTAGAATATCGACGTAAAACAGCGACAAGAAAATCGAAAAATGGGTAACAAAGCCAAGTTTCAAATACGAACTTCGAGATTCGAAAATCGAATTTCGAGATTCAAGATCCAAATTAACCAATCAGTAAGCGATTCAACATTTGATTACTCCCCTTTGCTATCTTTTTACATTAAGAAATCGTTGAATATATTTACAACAAACAGGTCATTTGAATGATTAATAGTTACCCAGTAATGCAAGAAAGAATGGTATATGTATCAAAACGAAATAAAAATGAAATTTGGGTTACCTTGATAAAATTATTTCATAGATTATTTGATCTCATTAATTAAAAACAATAAGTGTATATAAAGAATATTAAAAAAAACCTTATCGTTCAATAAGAAGTTTATTACGGCGATAGATTATCTAATAACCCCATTGGTTTGGAAGAAAACTAAAATGATATAGCAACTTAACGTTTTTGTCCCGTCTGGTAACCCCCTCTTTTGATTTTTGGAGGGGGTGGGCTTTACAAGGAATTTTTATTTATTGTTTCCTACGGGCCTAAACAATGCGAATTCATTATCTTTATTAAGTATTTATGTTTCAACCACCTGCACTTAAAGGGCTGTCCCTTGGCTTCACAGACTTGGTCAATGGCCACTTTATAATACCTTGTCACGAACACTACCCACTTAATTTGAAACCCTCATTACCATGACTCGCTAGTCACTTGATATACATGTGTATTGCACGCTTATAATTCTCTTCATCAATACGACCCCTATTTTCACTTTCAAAGAATCCGACTAACAACATTTATAATAATCACATCTGCCCAACAGTGACTCTGTAAACAAACTAGATAATAAGATATAGTTACATGTATTCTTGATGATATAAATCTATTAAATTATTTAAGAAGTTATAATATAATCACCTTTTGCGTACCAAAAATTCAACATCTTCTTTAAAATTTCGTTCTGACATACCAGACCCGTAGCAACAGTTTCAAAAGTGTGTGTGTGTGTGTGTGGGGGGGGGGGGGGCAACTTTCCAAAATATCTGACAAGTGAAAAAAACCACATGACCAAAAATATATTCCAAAAAATTCTGACAAGCAAAAAGAAAAACTCACCAAATTAACTATCCAAATCCTGGAATTTGACAGTGCTCGATCTTACAGCAACAAATAGTGGAGGGGCCAACCAGCAATTAAAGGAAAATTTAATATAACAAAATACTATACTCAGAAAAAAAGGGGGGCAGCCCCCTTAGCAAAGGGGAATAATCGAATTTTAAACCGCCTTTTGAATGGTTAATTTAGATCTTGAATCTCAAATTTCGAATCTCGTATTTCGAATCTCGAATGAGCCTTCTGGGCTTTCGTAGGTAAAAGCAATAGAATTTGCAGTGGTGTGGTTTGGGACTGGATATAAGTGTTATTCAACTCCTAGAGTGTTTTTTGTCGCAGTACTAAAGGATCTGGGATAAAAACGCACAGCATGCTGATAAAAATCACATCCTATTACAAATCTATATATTTATAAATCCTATATTTATAAGGTACTGTAGAATCACTTATTTTCGTGGGGTCAAATTTTCGTGGTTTGAGGAAAAATAACTGGTTCTAGGGGATTTGATTTGATGGTTAAAGGAGGAACATTATTAATCCGTATGTAATTTTCACATTTCATGGGGAAATTTGAATTCGTGGGTCTCTTCATTCCACGAAAACAACGAAAATTAACCCCCCACGAAAATGTATGATTTAACAGTAATCAAAAGAACTAATGTTAAAAATTTATAAATGTGCAACATATTATTGATATGCATTTTACATATCATGGTTTGATACTACAGCTGTACTTATATGCTAAATATAGCCTAAATCTGAAAAAGAGATATATGTATTCCTTAATTTTTGTATATTTCGCTACATGTACAGATTCGACGTTTATGTATATGGACAGACCTGTCGAAGCCGACAAACTGCATTTGAATTAACTTTACCTCCATTTTTAAGGAGATCTGAGGTTTTAAAGTTTTTAGTTTACAGAATCGCTTTCACTTTGGCTAATTACATGTACACAAAAAAGGGAAAATGTTATTTATGCCAAGTATATGCCTGTCAGAAAAATGCATGAACATGAGAACACCACCATTTACAGAACTTAATTCAAAACAGGTCAACTGCAAACTGTGTCGTCAGGCAAGTTTCGCCTTTTTGTTGAAACATGAGACATTCGAGGTCTTTTGGAATAAACATTCATAAATGTTTACCAACAAGCTCCTGTGCTGTCTGTATCTCGACATATATACATCCTTTGTGACAAATTTCTTGTCATTTTCTATTAAGCCTGAAGCATATTTTTTTTACTTCCATCACATCGCTAATTCTCACTCATATGGAGACGCCACCAATTGCCGGTGGAGGGCTGCAAATTTAGACCTATTGCACTGAGGGCCATTGAGCAGTGAGGGATCTTTTTGTGCCATCAACTACTGCGACACGGGACCTTGGTTTATACTGTCTCTTCCGAAGGACCGGTCTTCATGTCCCGCAGTGGGATTCGAACTCTCGATCAAGGATCAACGGCTTACTCCGCGACTCTAGATCAAACGCTCTAACCACTGCGCCACGCGGGCGACTCGTACTGTTTAGATGTACTAGTACATTTTCGAAATCACCAGGCATTGTCTATTAATGCTTGCATAAAAATAAAAAAAAATATTCATCCAAAAATGAATTGTTGATGTGTTATTTCCCCACGGATCCTACAATTGGAACCCATTCATAAATAATTTAATTTTTAAGTTTTTTCCGAGGGAAATTCTGCTAACAGTTCGAGATAAAATGAATAGAAGAAAGAATTGAGAGAAAAGAAATGACTCAAACAAGACGCCCATGGGCCACATCGCTCATCTGAGCACATTGGCAAGGCAAAAGCACAAATCAGTTCAGTATTGAAAAGATTAAAGGGGGGGGGGGCTTGAATTTTAAACTTCCTGATGATGCTTCCATGTCAATATAACAAATGGCTTTGTTGTACTTGAGAAGTTTTTAAAAAAAATTTCCCATATATTCCTTTGTAAAAATTTGATCCCCCATTGTGGCTCCTCCCTATCCCAGGGGTCATCATTTGAACAAACTTGAATCTACACTACCTGAGGATGCTTCCATATCAAAATGACTAAACATGATTTTCAGTTCTTGAGAAGAAGACATTTTCCTATATGTTCCTATGTAAAATTTTCGATCCCCCATTATGCCCCATCCCTATCCCCAGGGGGTCATGATTTGAACATACTTGAATCTACACTACCTGAGGATACTTCCACATATATATGATCAATCAGGGCTTTGCTGTTCCTGAGAAGAAGATTTTTAAAGATTTTTCCTATATATTTCTACGTAAAACTTTGATCCTCCATTGTGGCCCCGCTCTACCCCTGGGGGGTCAAGACTTGAATAAATTTGAATCTACACTACCTGAGGATGCTTTCATATAAATATGACCAATTTGGGCTTTGCTGTTCTTGAGAAGAAGATTTTTAAAATTTTTTCCTATATATTTCTATGTAAAACTTTGATCCTCCATTGTGGCCCCGCCCTACCCCCGGGGGTCATGATTTGAACAAACTTGAATCTACACTACCTGAGGATGCTTCCATATAAATATGACTCATCATGGCTTTGCTGTTCTTGAGAAGAAGATTTTTAGAGGTTTTTCCTATATATTTCTATGTAAAACTTTGATCCTCCACTGTGGCCCCGCCCTACCCCCGGGGGTCATGATTTGAACTCACTTGAATCTACACTACCTGAGGATGCTTCCATATAAATATGACTCATCATGGCTTTGCTGTTCTTGAGAAGAAGATTTTTAAAGGTTTTTCCTATCTACACTACCTTAGGATGCTTCCACATGAGTTTCATCTTCCCTGGCTTTGTGGGTCTTGAGAAGAAGATTTTTAAAAGATGCTATTAATTTTTCTCTAATTCTTTATTATCTCCCCTTGAAAGAGGGCGTGGCCCTTCATTTGAACAAACTTGAATCCCCTTCACCCAAGGATACTTTGTGGCAAGTTTGGTTGAAATTGGCCCAGGGGGTTCTTGAGAAGAAGTCGAAAATGTGAAAAGTTAACAAACGGACGGACAGACAGACAGACGGACAGACAGACGGACAGACGGACTACAGACAAAATGTGATCAGAAAAGCTCACTTGAGCCTTCGGCTCAGGTGAGCTAAAAAAGTAATTCCCCGACACCAGCGGACCTGTGGCAGAGGCATAGTTCCATGAAAACTAGACTAATTCCCTAAAAGTAACTCTGAATTGTTACACTAAAGTAGGTGAAAATCAACGAAAAAACTAGCATATCCATGGATCCTTCCTGCAATATTTGTTATAAGTGTTGATTGATGAAAAGCAAAGCATCAAGAATAGAGACATGCTGTTTACAAAGAAAAAACTGAGTATTTATGTATATTTACTAGATGCTTTCTATGGAAACACCCCAGTCGATCTAAGTTGGTTACAAAGAAAGAAAATAACGGAGTGAAACAGTTGCTCACTGAAAAAAAAAAACTGATTGGAAGAAATATCCTGAATATACATGTGCTTTACCTGATGGATTCTTGACCATAATCATATTAATTTGACGTATTTACCTTCGTATATCTTCATCAATTTTCTTCTCTAGGGCTTTGTAAAATTTTAAATCTTATGATACGTCCCCATAATTGTAATTTACTAAAACTGGATTCCTAAACTACAAAAAAACCTTACAAACAAAAGATACATAGCGTATTCCGGTAAATGTTCTACGAAGCCTCTTTCTTTACTCCTCATTAAAATATTAACAGCAGTGAAGGAGAAACTTCAGGAGTACTGTACAAAAATATATTCGAGAAGTGGTGTAAATCAG